ACCCACGACAGCACCGCAACGCTAGGAACTCAGCGCCGCGGCGCTACGACGCAAGAAAAGACGCATTTTGAAGGCCAATCGTGAGAAAACTTACCCGTTTTGACCCTAATGCTTGAAAACATATAAATAGATGATTCTAGGGCAATTAAAGGCACTTTTGGACTGGAGAGTAACAACTGACTTTTGAGAGGAGATTCAAGAAGAGAAAGGAGAATTGAGTACGGAAAAGAACAACGGTAAAAATATGGAGACGGAGACGCTTCAATTCAACTCCAAACTAGTTCTTTTCTTTCATTTCCAATGATTAAGACTTTGTTTAGGAATTTATTTTGTTTAGAGATGAACTAATTTATTTTTCTAGGGCTACGATGTAGCCAGATTATGAATGTTCAGATTCTCAATCTTCTTTTTAAGTAATTAATGTTTAATCCATATATGCTGAGTATTTCAATTTATTCTTAATGCTTGTGATTGTTTGGCCAACTATTACATGATTTTGTATTTGATTTGAGACTGATAGGTGATAATTAAATAAGCTCTTAATTGAAATACCATGAGTTGTTCAGAGGATAGAGATATCTATGATGCTTGTGCAGTTCTTTTAAATTTCTTACACTTAATGATTTTCAACAGGTTTAGAAGTCTGACAGAGATGTAGAGTTTGCTTGTTGGATTAATATTATTATTGCTTGAGAAAGAATAATAATTGCTTTAGAGAAATTGCTGCCAGTATAGGATTGAATGTTAATTTTCTTAAATTATGAGAATTTGAACATGATTAATTTTGGTGAAATCAGAAACCCTAGAGTCTTAGGGGTTGTTCTTTTAGAGTGTAACTTGAGTGTAATTTTTGAGTTGAATTTGAGTTATAACTTGAGTTAAAGTTGTAACTTGAATAAAGTTGAGTAAAGTTGAATAAAGTTGGAACTTAAAAGAGCACAAACTTAAATAAAGTTGTAACTTGAGTTTAAACTTTTTCTGAATTTTGTTGTAAAAGAACAACTCCTTAATCTATTGAATTTTATTCACTGGCTTAGCATTGTTTAATTTATTTAATTTTTTTAGTTTTGCTTTACTTAATTTTATAAACTCTCTTTTCAATTATTCAAATAAAATTGGAGTTAATATAATTTTGGTAATTAGTAAACAACAATTCTTGTGGGACGATACTCTTATTCACTATTATATTACTTGATTGCGATAGCGTATACTTGCGTTACGATTTTTCACAATATATTGTAAATCGCTTTGTTCATATAGTGCATATCGAACTTCCTCTGGGGAGTTCGCAGAGATGTAGGTGTGATTTTACCGAACTCCAAAATTAGATCGTTACGTTCTTGCTGTCTTCTTTTCTGTTTTGATTCAGTAAGATCGAAGTCGGTGTTGGTTTAATTTCCAACAATAGCCGTGTTTAGCTTGTGGCTTTAGTTTTACTAAGTAGAGATGCTATGTTACATGTATTAATTATATATAAACCGCGGTCCTTTTATAAAGTATTTCTGCACATTCTCACGAGGAGATATCCCCGCTACGTACTCCCACATGATGAATCTATTTAGTGTTTGGTTAATTTCGTGGACAAGAATATTGGTATTAAACGTACCTGGAAAACGATTTAGAAAACAAGGTGGGTCCTGTCCGTAATTTCTTTATTTTTGCAGCAAGCAACTAAGGCCCGTTCACTTCGCTGATTCGAGTTTAGAATTCGAGTTTTTCTACAGTAAAAAGCTCTCACAAACAATCACATCTAACTTTTTTGTTACAGTAAAAAATTCTCATATAAAGTCACATCTCAACTCAAATTCTAAACTCGAATCAGCGAAGTGAACGGGCCAATTAATTTAATTAATCTTTTGATCACAAAAGAACGTCGGAATGTTATAAAAGTACTATTTTCAACGTGGCATAATTTCATGCGCCGACATAATTTCACACTTACAATAAGTTAGTCACGTCGGTCGATTCGACACCGATTGTTGTCTACCGCATTGGTTTTAGATAGCGTGGAAACTGGAAATTCCTCCTTTTTGTAGTGAGAACTCAGAGAAGAATATGTATATTATTGTACCTGTGAGTAATTAATTGGCAATAATTAAGATCGCTAGTAATAATTAGTCTATTCATTATTAGTATTGGTGATACATAATTGTGAGACTTAGCTATAAATATCCTTACATATTCAATTTTAAGCGTGCACACAACCGGCAGTACGCAATTAATTGGTTATAATCAGTACTGTACTTTATTTTCTTATTCGTAAGTAAATTTTTAATCATCTCAGTAGTCATATGCACAATCTAATTATTCTCTAAATATTCAGATTCTTAAATATATAGATATTAAAACTGCATATGCCCTAGTTTCTTTTCTTAATTGTCTGTTGGTGAAGAGAGTTATTTTCTGAGAACTACTACAAGCTTTCATCCGCAAATAGAGGGGGCCTGCTTTTGTTTCTCATGCACTCATTCGAATAAAATATTTTCAAAACAAAGCTCAGAAAAAGATCGGCTCCTAGTAAATACCTGGCACTTGCCGGCCAATGGAGGAAAAATCTTGAATATTTTTCAACTCGCCTGCTCCAGCTTTATGTTCACAAAGTACTTGGTTGCCTGCTCCGGCGGCCATGACATATTGTTGGGAGTTTTTATTTTTATTTTTTTTATTTTTTATTTTTTTTTATGATAAAGCGTCTCTACTAATAATGTATGTTTATTAATATTACAATCAATTAAAATCACATAAAAAAGTATACCGTGGTTCAAATATAGTCATATTGGTGAGATATTTTTTCATTCCCAGGTAAAATTTTCTATCTTGATATTTTTATTGTGATTGGTTCAATTGATCTTAGATGTGCAATGAAAGCGATCGACCACCATAAGTTGCCTCCTCCAAAGATAGGTTGATGGCGTAAAAAAGAGCTACAAAGGTCCACTTGCACAAGAAAATGAACAACCACCCACTAGCAGATAAAAAAGATTAATTCATATGCAAACATCAGATATATATTTTGAAGATACGAATTATATATGAGGGTAGGCTCGTGATCATCCACTGATCATAATTGCGTTGACTATAAGTAGAGCATATCACTTTCAAACTTAGGCGTTGTGCTCGACAGCCCATTATATAAAGCAAATTCAATGTCCAGCATGATCATATATATATATATATATATATATATGCCGAGTGTACATTCCACTTGCAAACTCCAATATCAGATCATTTGCTTCGCTTTTACGCAGTATGAACATTAATCTTTGAGCAAATTTTGGATCATAAGACCCTTGGAAATCAGAAGCGCAAATATTGCGATACTTGAATTTGACTTGAAGTTCCACTATAATAAGATCACCGTCAAGGTAGCTAGGTATTAGTAATCCTTTGATGTAGTACTGGCTTTTCTATTCCGAAACCAAATTATAATCTCAACAAGAATAAAATAAAATAAACAAAGAAAACGTCTCCATCCAAGGAGGGAATCATGATCATGAAAGCTTACGGATGAGTTTAACAAGATCAAGCCTTGAGTAAATTTGAATGCCATCGCGTCAAAAATACAATAAAGAACTAAAATTTAATACACACACACACACACACATATATATATATATGTGTGTGTGTGTGTGTGTGTGTGTGTGGAATCTTAATGAATACATTGTCTAGAGAAAACAGCGTCAAGATAAGTACTACAAGTGATTGATGATTAACCATAAGATTCGTATTGAATCTTTGACAAGAAGCTGCTTCAATGACTTCCACAAGGACTAATAATTACGGCATTTTTAGTACTCATTCCTAAATTAGTTTTATGGTTTGAATAATAATAATAATAATAATAATAACAATAGTGAAAATTGAAGCTTTGAAGCGGGTAACATACCATAAATCAACAACCATATACTTGTTCAAACCGAGATGGAAATTCTTATTTGTGGTTCTTCAAAAAAATTGGCAGATTTTAATATCTTAAGGAAAAAAAAAATTTCAGAGAAGGATTTTAAATGAGAAAATCTTAAAATTTCTTGCAAGTTTGTTTTTTTTCTTCTTCTTTTGTTTCCCTATCATTTAATTTTGGTTTTCGGTTTTTTTTTTAAAGTTTTGTAAGACGGTGTTTCCTTTGTTTCTAATAAGGTTTTTGCTCATTAAAAAACACAATATTAAAGAAATGAGAAGGCACAAAATATGGTTCTCTTCCCCCTTCTACAATTAGAGACATGGTCTTCAATTGTTTCTTCATTCTCCTTCCCTCTTTCACAAAATATGTTTCTCTTGCCCCCGAAAAGGTGAATTCTATACTCTTGAGAATATTGATTCGCATAACACACGTGCTTTTCTGTTAAAAAATTAGACAGCCATTATCAATTTTATCCGGTTTGCACTAAATTAAGATTTTGAGGACTTAATGTGAAAATTAAAAGCTGCAAGGTCGACGAACTTGGTTCTAGGAGACGAGAAACAGTACTCATGATGACGCGGTATTATCTTTTTTCTTTAATCTATGACTTGCTTTTATTTTCTTATTATTATTTTATACTCGGACAAAGTCTACCATAACATTACACGTCCAAATGGCGAAAAATAAAATAAAAAATCCTGTAGTGATGAACCATATATATAAATTGTAGGATGTTGGTATCTATTATTATCAATTAGCTTGAATTATTTAGATTAGGACACCCAAAGATGTCACAACTCTCTGTCTGCATATGCTACAATGATCATTACTATATTGCTAATTCTATATCCGAAGACTGATTATTTTTAATCTTATCAGACAAGTGGATAATGTTTATAGGCATACCGCCAAAGACTTTCCCGTTCCTTCTTATGGCTAAAAATACCGTAACATTTGTCATAATATTACGAACATGATGAGGGATAAGTCAAAGTAGGTAAAGGATTATCATTTCACGCGTCCAAATCGCACTGGACATCATTCAGGATTTAGTGGATCACAACAAGAGCTTTTCTATTTTGCTTATAATTTCCTTCTTGACCTTGTACTATATATGTTTCACTAACTTTGTCACAATAACGTTATATAACTCTCAATACACACACACACACACACACACACACGCATAAATACCATCATCACCACCACTACCAACAACTTGCTCTACTTTGTACTCGTAAGCTTAAAGTTAAGAATTAGCCAATGGAAGTTGAAGTAACCTCCAACAAGATTATCAAACCTTCTTCTCCAACTCCGGAAAATCTCCGCCGTTACAAGCTCTCTTTCCTTGATCAATTATCACCCAAAGCCTATGGTCCTTTGCTTTACTACTATGCCTTAAATGACCATACCATAAATGAGCCAAATTATATTTCGAAGATATCCAACAAGCTTAAGAAATCTTTGTCCCAAGCCTTAACCCTCTACTATCCACTCGCCGGACGATTTATAGACGACCGTTTCCTCGACTGCAATGACGATGGAGTTCCCTACTTTGAAGCTCGAGTGAAGACCAAACTTTCCGACGTGCACGAGAATTGGATCCCATGTGAACTCAACAAGCTTCTTCCATTTGAACTCGACGAAATCGCTGAATTGCCCCTCGGCGTCCAACTCAATGTCTTTGAATGCGGGGGAATCGCCATTGGCATTTGCCTTTCCCATAGGCTTGAAGACGCTTTGTCATGTCTAGTGTTCGTCAAAAGTTGGATGGCCATTGCTCGAGGTGAGAATGACACTGTTGCGCGTCCTGAATTCATCTCCGGAGATCTCTTCCCGCCGAGGAATATGGGCGGGCATGATCCTACCCTCGCCATCAAAAAGAACATGTGCACTACAAACATAACAAAGAGGTTTGTGTTCGAGGCTCGAAAGATTGAGGCTCTTAGGTCAAAGTACGAGGAAACAAAAAGGGAAGAAGGAATAATAAAAAATCATAACGTCGTCTGGAAGCGGCCACGGCTTTCGCGCATTTCAGCCCTCTCCGCTTTCCTATGGAGCCGTTACATGGCTGCAACAAAGTCACTCGAAGCCGAAGCTGGAAAAAACTATGTCATTCTCCACCCGGTGAACATTCGTCCAAGATGTGATCCGCCGTTGGGTGAACATTCTTTCGGAAACTACTACACCACCGCCGCAACAGTCGGAACCATTACAAGTACTTGTACTGGGGATGAATACTGTTACGGCCTGGCGAGGAAGATAGGAGAAGAGATAAGAAAGATTGATAAGGAATTTGTGAAAAACAATATTCAAGAAACGGGAGATGAGTTGGTGGAGATTATCAAGAAAGAAACGGAAAGACTCATCAAAGGAGAGGTGATTGGGGTAGTCATAACAAGTTTGTGCAGATTTCCTCTCTATGAAGCTGACTTTGGATATGGTAAGCCGACATGGGTGAGTTCAGCTGCCAGGGGTTTTATTAACCTATTTGCTTTTATGGACAACAAAGCTGGCGATGGAATAGAGGCTTATATCTGCTTGAATGCAGATGATATGGCCAAACTTGAAGTTGACAAAGAATTTCTTGCCTTTGTGTCTCCAGATGTGGCTGCTCTTGATGAGTTCACCATTCTCAATGGAGCGTGAGTTTGAAAACTAGAAAAAATGTCCCCCGTGTGTGTTTTGATCAGTTTTTTTTTTTTTTTTTTTTTTTTTTAAGTTTTTAGTAATTTATTTGCTTTGGTGTTATTATCTTTTAAGTTTCCTTTCTTTTATTTTTTATTTTATTTTTGTTGAGATTATGTGATGATAATAAGAGGCTTCCTTACTTCAAGTTTTGATGAAAGTGTACTTATAGTTTAGGGCAACCTCTTTCCAGCTAATACACTCGTGGTTTTTCTTTTTATTAACATACAGTTTATGCCTTTTTTTTCCTAAGGAAAAAAAGAAGTTTTTGGCATCCGAGAACTTAACACATTTCAGCAAATTTGACACCCACAAAATTTGTCTCATCTTACATCAATTGTTCACTTAACATCAATCTCTCCCACCCTTTTTATGCTTAATTATAACATTCTTTGTGTGAACAATAATGGTAAAAAAGGAAAATTATTGGAAGATAATGTCTATGGACTTTTTTTCCTTTTTCTTCGTCTTTTTTGTTTTTTTTGTTTTTTTTGTTCTTTTTCGGTGTGGGCATTGGTCATTGAATTCACACTAATTAAGTAACACTGTTGGTTGTTCCCATGCTTGATAATTGCCTAATCGTAAAATTGAGATAATTGAGTAATGTACTATGCTTTAAGTGGAGAAAAGTGCTGTACTAGATGTCACTTCATTTTCTTAAGTGGAGAAAAGAGAGAGTTGCACCAATTACTTGCACGCCACGTTAGATACTTTTTCTTTCTATAATAAACAGATCGCCATCTCTATATATAACACTGCATGTGGGGCAAATGGCCATAAGCTAGCTATATTCTTTCGAATAGTACATTACTACGAAGTTCTCTAGTTGCTCGGATTGGTTAATTATAAGTTATAATCTACAATTCCCAGAGAAATATGAAGAATGTTCTATGTGTGTGTGTATATATTATGTATGTATGTATACATATGTATGAATGTATGTATGAAGGTTGAAAAATTGAAATGATCTCCTCAGAGGTCATCAAATCCCATATCTACTACAACCCCACATGACAAACGCCATTATCTAGCTCTCTTTCCTCCCCCAACTTGCATCTTCATCCTTCTTGCCGCAGGGATATGTGTGTGTGTGGTGATACGGGTAATGACCTCTCAATATATGCCATGAAAAAACCAAAAATGACGCGTTAAGATTTAGGAACAAATTAAATTGGGAGAAAACTACAGACTAGAATCCCGATTATTAAAAAAAAAAAAAGGAAATAACCAGTACTACTTAAGACGACAACAAAATATGTTCAGCCGTTAATCTTAATTTGAAACTGTGAAACAATATAGGTCTCGTTCATTTCACCGATTCGAATTTTCAGTTTTAAGTTTTTACAGTTAAAAACTCTCAGAAAATGTCACATTTAACTATTTCTGATACAGTTGAAAGTTCTAAAAAAATGTCACATCTCAACTCGAATTGAAAACTCGAATCTGCGAAGCGAACGATGCTATAATCTAGATTCCTATTTAAAATCTCACTCATGTCCATTAAGGCAATTAGTTAAGCTAAACCAAAAAGCTTAGTCCTTTGTTTTAATTTTCTTGCACCCAAGGCAAAGAAAATCTTATAAAAAATTAAAAATTTATAAACTACTATTAATTGTGGCATTATAAGTGACCTCAAGAAATAGAGACTGTAGCCAATAATAATAAAGGTAGTCAATTGCCACCCTCCGTCTACTTTTCCCACTCTCTTTTTAATAAATTATTTATTACTGAGTTATCCATCAATAAAATGACTTCAAAAGACAAAAGGAATTAAAAAAAGAAAACTCATCAGACGCCTCACCTCAAAAAAAAAAAAAAATCCATTTTAAAAATTATTCTGCAATTTGTGCTTTACTATTATTATTATTATTATTATTATTATTATTATTATTATTATATTTTTGTAAGAAAAGAGAAACAATGGATTCCAAGATATGGAAGGAACATCCGCACAAAAATATACGCGTTTCTTTTTTTTTTTTCCTTCAAATATTTTTGTTATTTTTTTTAATTCAATTCTTGTTTTTTATATTAAAATTTACTTCTTTTTTTATGGGATAAAATAGATTTCGGACGTTGCTACTAAAATATTGGGGTGACAATAGATCCACCCAAATAATAATACTAATAACAACAATAATAGTTATGATGGTGACAATGATATCATCTTATTACTCTGTCTACTTCAAATTTTCCAACTCATCTTATTTCACCGTTTATTTTCTATGGAAAATGCAAAATTATAAATAATTAACCCCTTTTTAAAAAATGGCGGCGCCAATGGATAATATCAATGTGTGAGAATATAAAGTTTTTATTGATTCACCTCCTAATAATTTAATATAAAATTTTTATTGATTCACCTCCTAATAATTTAAAATTTAAATTTTTATTGATTAACCTCTTAAAAATTTAAATTTTTAAAAAAATTAACAAAACTATCATGATATCATAATAGGAGATTAAGAGTTCAAACTTTTTACAGATTTTTATTTCTTTAAAAATTGTCATCACGTGTTGTTGTATCAATATGTTTCAGTATCTTATTATATTAAGCTTTCTAATTAATATTTACTCATATGTTTGCTCATTGTTCCACCTTATAGGCATTAAGAGAAAGACATTAATTAAGAGAAGTGTTAGTAATTAAAAACTATCAGGAGCGATACATTTTCTGCACATACATTCTTTCCATTAGCTAGGTCAATGTACGTCAATTAGCGTGGTCTTATGTATGTGTAGTGTGTGAATACATACATATATATACATACATATATATATATATATATTAATCTTCAACGAGTTCATCAAACCCGTGTTGCTTCTTATCGCAAAGTAACTTGTGTAATACTACGAAGATAAGGGATAAGTGGAAGTAGGTAAGGAATGTAGACACGGGTTATTATTACACACGTCCAAATCGCAATAGACATCAGCAGAGGACGTATAACACAACTTTTTTAATCTTTGCTTATAATTATTTCCTTCTTGACCTTTGTCGGACAAACTTTATCACAATAACGTACACTCTTAATATAAGAAACAAGCATATATGTACTTATAAATATTACCATCATCACCAACAACCAGCTACTTCACTTTTTACCTGTTAGCTTAAACTTAAGCGTGAGAGTTGAGACCAATGGAAGTTGAAGCAATCTCCAACGAGATCGTCAAACCCTCTTCTCAAACTCCGGAAAATCTCCGCCGTTACAAGCTCTCTTTCCTTGATCAACTATCACCCAAAGCCTATAGTCCTTTCATTTACTACTATGAATTAGCAGACCATAACACTAATGAGCCAAATTATATCTCGGAGATATCCAACAAGCTTAAGAAATCTTTGTCCCAAGCCTTAACCCTTTACTATCCACTGGCCGGACGATTTATAGACGACCATTTCCTCGACTGCAACGACGATGGAGTTCCCTACTTTGAAGCTCGAGTACTTTACACCGAACTCTCCAGCGTGCTCGAGAATCCGATCCCATGTGAACTCAACAAGCTTCTTCCACTCGAACTCGACGAAATAGCTGAATCTCCCCTCGGCGTCCAACTCAATGTCTTCGAATGCGGAGGAATCGCCATTGGCCTTTGCTTTTCCCACAGACTTGAGGACGCTTTGTCATGTCTAGTGTTCGTCCGAAGTTGGATGGCCATTGCTCGCGGAGAGAATGACGTTGTCATGCAACCTGAATTTATCTCAGGAGATCTTTTCCCGACGAGGAATATGCGCGGGTATGATCCTACATTCTCCATCAAAAAGAATATGTGCACTACAAACATAACAAAGAGGTTTGTGTTCGATGCTCGGAAGATTGAGGCTCTCAGGGCAAAGTACGAGGAAAGAAAAAGTGAGGAAGGAATAATAAACAATCAAAACGTCCGAAATTGGCGCCTTTCACGCATTACCGTGGTGTCCACTTTCCTATGGAGCCGTTTCATGGCTGCAACAAAGTCACTTAAATCCGAAGCTGGAAAAAACTATGTCATTCTTCACCCGGTGAACATCCGTACAAGATGTGATCCACCATTGGGAGAACATTCATTCGGAAACTACTACACCACCGCCGCAACAGTCGGAACCATTACAAGTACTTGTACTGGGGAAGAATACTGTTACGGCCTGGCGGGGAAGATAGGAGAAGAGACAAGAAGGATTGACAAGGAATTTGTGAAAAAAAATATTCAAGAAAAGGGAGATGAGTTGGTGGAGCATATCAAGAAAGATACCGAAAGTTTCATAAAAGAAGAGGTAGTTGGGTTAGTCATAACAAGTTTGTGCAGGTTTCCACTCTATGAGGCTGACTTTGGATATGGTAAGCCCACATGGGTGAGTTCTGCTGCCAGGGGTTTTATTAACCTAATTTCTCTTATTGACAACAGAGCTGAAGATGGAATAGAAGCTTATATTTGCTTGAAGGCGGAAGATATGGCCAAAATTGAAGTTGACAAAGAGTTTCTTGCCTTTGTGTCTCCAAATATGGCTGCTCATGTGAAGACTGCTAAAAAAAAAATGTCCAATAATTAACGCGGGTGTGTTTTGATCAGTTTATCAGTTTAGTTGTTTTGGTTTGATTTTTTTTTTCCCCTGGTTGTGATTATGTAATTATAATAATTTGTGGCTTCCATAAATGCTAAAATTTTCTCTTCTTACATTAATTTTCACTCATATTACATCAGTCTTCCAGCCTTTTTATGTTTAATATTGTTAAGAAACCTTAGCTTACTAAGCAAGCTTTGCAAAGCTTCTAGTATAAGCTTCTGTAGTAAAAACGTACTCTACAAGTTTTCAGTAGCTTTATGTAACTTATGTATAAATAGATAGTTACTGTAGCTTGCTAATTTAATGATTCAGATAATTCATTCAATATACAATATTCTTTCTAAATACATTACGACAGTTTTCTTTACATTACGATTGTAGCTTGTTGATTTAATGATGGAATCCTCTCCGGCAAATCTCTCTCTGGTGATGGAATCCGTTTCTCAGGCGTTCTTTTGTCAGATCCGGTGTTCCTTTGTTAGATCCGGCGTTTCTTTCTTCGTCGATTAACCGAGTAAAGGTGCTCATTCCTCAGGCGTTCTTTTGGTCAGATCCGGTGTTCCTTTGTCAGATCCGGCGTTCTTTTGTCAGATTCGGCTTTCTTGTGTTAGATCCAGAGGTCTTTTGTCAGATCGAGTGTTTCTTTTCATCGATTAACCGAGTACAGGTGTTCTTTTCAGCAATCGCCATGAAAGAAACCTCCACAGCCGTACAAAAGAATATTTCTTCCTTACGATTTACTCCGGTAACCTTCTCACACTCAATTTCTTCGAAGTTAGACAACAATAATTTTTTGGTCTGGCGCAGACAAGTTCTTACTACTGTCCATGGTTATCGCCTTCAAGACTTTCTTTTTAACTCAATAAGATTGCCTCCAAAGTTTCTTTCTCCAGAAGATGAACTTCGTCGTGTGATCAATATCGCGTATCTAGAGTGGGAACAGCAAGATCAACTGATCGTGTCGTGGATGCTAGCCTCCATGTCTGATTCTGTTCTTGCTCAAATGGTCAACTGTGAAACTGCAGCTCAAGTTTGGCACACGGTTGAGGTATACTTTGCCTCACAAATTAGAGCCAAAAAGTCTCAGTTTAAGACTCAATTGCAGAATACACGTAAAGACTCTTTGACTATTAATGAATATCTGCTTCGAATAAGACATTTTGTTGATATGCTTGCTCTAGTAGGTCATGAAATTTCAACTAAGGATCATGTAGATGCAATATTCAATGGTTTACCTCCTAAATATGATATTTTGGAGATCAGTGTGAATTCTAGTTTCAATGAATACACTGTTGAAGAAGTTGAATCTCTAGTTCTTGCTCAAGAAGTTCGTATTGAGAAAGCCTTAAAGTCTAGTGATGGTTTTGGTTCTTCTTCTGGTCCTACATCTGTTAATCTTGCTATGACTAGGACTCAGTCAAATTCTACTCCAAAATTTAGTGGTCCTGGTTTCGGATATCCTTCTTCTGGAACTGCTGGTTTCTTTCCAACATCTCCTGTGTATTTCTCAGGTAATCCTAGACAGGGTCATTTTTCTGGTAATACAAATAACAGGGGCATAGGACGTTTTGGAGGATTTAACAGAGGGCTTTGGAACAACAATAAAGTGCAGTGTCAACTCTGTGGAAAGCAAGGTCATGTTGTTATGCAGTGTTATTACCGTTTTGACAGGTCTTTTGCTGGTCCTTCTCAATTTTCTCATCAGGTTCAAGGCAACCGAGTTCACTGCCAGAGTTCAAACCCAGAGTCTGAAGCCTTTCAGATGGGTGCTATACTCGCTACTCCAGAGGCAGTGCAGAATCCAGCCTGGTATCCACCTGATTCTTCTGACATGGACTGGTATCCTGACTCGGGTGCTACCAACCACTTGACTGCTGATCGTTCAAACCTCATGACCAGTTCAGAATTATCAGGCCTTGATCAGGTGCACATGGGAAATGGTAAGGGGTTACCTATTAAACACATTGGTTCTTCTAGTTTCTCTAGTCCGTTTATTATTTCCAAAACTCTTACTCTTAAACACTTATTACATGTCCCTGAAATTCATAAAAATTTGTTGAGTGTCTCCAAGTTTGCCACTGATAATCATGTTTTCTTTGAGTTTCACCCCACTACTTGTTATGTCAAGGACCTTACTTCCAAGATGGTGCTGCTGGAGGGTCGTCTTAAGGATGGCCTCTATGCATTTGACAACTCGCAGATCCGCCTCCATCTCTAGCCATCTCCTCCAGTTTGTTCTTCACAGACTGTTCAGCCATCTGTTCAGCCATCCTCTTCTTTTTCTAATCTTGTAATTCCTGTTATTCGAGCTTATACTAGCACTGTCAATTCTTATCATTTTGAATTATGGCATAATAGATTAGGACATCCAGCTGACAAAGTTGTACAGCTTGTTCTGAATAATTGTAATATCTCCAACATCAATAAAACTTCACTCTCTACTTGTAAGTCTTGTTGTTTGGGTAAAATTCATAAACTACATTTCTCTCTGTCCCAGACTACTTACCACAAACCTTTACAGTTGGTTCATTCGGATTTATGGGGTCCCTCACCCACTAATTCTTCCAGTGGATATAGATATTACATTCATTTTATTAATGCTTATTCTCGTTTCACCTGGATGTATCTTTTAAGAACAAGGTCAGAAGCTTTACAAGCCTTTATCAATTTCAAAACTTTAGTGGAGAAACAACTTGATTTACCTATTAAGTGTCTACAAACTGACTGGGGAAGGGAGTTTAGAGCCTTTACAGACCTTCTTATTCAACAAGGAATAGAACATAGACATCCTTGTCCACATACCCATGAGCAAAATGGAGTTGCTGAGCGTAAGCATAGACACATTGTTGAAACAGGTCTAACACTCCTTGCTCAAGCCTCTATGCCGTTTAAATACTGGGATGAGGCGTTTCGTACCTCGGTTTTTCTTATAAACAGGCTGCCAACACCTTTACTTCAAAATAGAACTCCTCTGGAAGTGTTATTTCACACAAAATCAGTCTCTTCTCAACTTAAAGTTTTTGGGTGCACTTGTTATCCAAATACTCGACCTTATAACAAGCACAAGTTGCAGTTTAGGTCCACACCTTGTACCTTTATGGGTTATAACATCAAGCATAAAGGTTATAAATGTCTTGATCCATCTGGTAGAATCTATGTCTCTCGGGATATTATATTTGATGAACTCTCATTCCCATTTACCAAAACTAATCCAATCATACCATCCACCTGTGTTGAGCCGAATAATCCTCTCTCATCCACACCACTTGGTGTTCTTCCTTCTTCTTTTCCATCATCTCAGCTTCCTCTTCCAACACCTTCATCATCATCTTCAACTGAATTTTCTCTTTCACCCTTCATACTACCACATAATCAAACTTCTCCCATTGCACCAGAAAATACTACCACTGTGCCAGAACATATGTCTACTGTTTCAGCCTCAAATCAGGACTCATGTGTACCAAGTCAGGAGTGTTTAGAATCCTCAAAACAGTCCAAGCTGCCACTTTCACACTCCATGGTCACACGCTCCAAGAAAGGCATTTTTAAACCTAAAGTATACATGGCAACAAAGGAGCCTAACACTGTTGAAGAGGCTATTGCTGCTTTACACTGGAAACAGGCTATGACTGACGAGTTCCTTGCTCTTTAGAGGAACCACACGTGGAGCCTTGTTCCTTTACCTTCTGGGAGAAAAGCAATTGGTTGCAAGTGGGTTTTTAGAGTAAAGGAAAATCATGATGACAGCATAAACAAATACAAAGCACGACTTGTTGCTAAAAGTTTTCATCAAGTGGCAGGTTTTGATTTCACAGAAACTTTCAGCCCAGTAGTTAAACCTACTACTGTTCGTGTAATGCTCACTCTAGCATTAAGTAGGCAGTGGTGTGTGAGGCAACTTGATGTGAACAATGCCTTCTTAAATGGGGATTTACAGGAGGAAGTGTACATGGATCAACCTGCTGGCTTTGTCGATCAACATCATCCAAGTCTAGTGTATAGGCTGCACAAGTCTCTTTGTGGCTTGAAGCAAGCTCCAAGGGCATGGTTTGACAACTTCACCAGGCGTTACTAAAACTTGGCTTTCGGTCAGCAAGGTCAGATCAATCACTTTTCATTCAAATTACATCACAATGGACTCTTTACATTCTAGTCTATGTGGATGACATTTTAGTCACCGAGAGTGATGAATCAGCTATCTAAGGGTTAATCAACAAGCTTAATGCTGAATTTGCACTCAAAGACCTTAGAAAGATTGACTATTATCTTGGAATACAGGTAACAAGAACCTCTGGAGGACTTCATCTATCGCAGAAAAAATACATCACAGATTTGCTGTGTAGAACCAAGATGCAATAAGCCAAGAGTGCTTCAGCTCCTATGGCCACAGGGCAGAAACTATCTTCTTTTGGAAGCGATCATGTGAGCAATGTTAAGCTATATAGGAGTGTAGTAGGAGCTTTACAGTATGTGACAATCACAAGGCCAACGATCGCATACTGTGTGAACAAGGTGTGTCAATTTATGCAAACACCATTAGAGGCTCATTGGAAAACAGTGAAGAGAATTCTCAAGTATCTGGCTGGCACACTTGACTATGGTCTACACTTGAGACAGTGCGCTACGGATAACCTAGATCTAGTTGCATTTTGTGATGCAGATTGGGCTTCAGATGTTGATGACAGAAGGTCCACCTCAGGGTTTTGTGTATTTCTTGGCTCTAACTTGGTTTGTTGGCAGTCAAAGAAGCAACACACAGTGTCTAGATCATCTACAGAGGTTGAATATCGGAGTTTAGTTAGTGTGGTGGCAGAGATATCTTGGCTGCAATCTCTTCTAAGTGAACTAAATTTTCAGTCACATAAAACACCAGTAATCTGGTGTGACAATCTAAGCACAATTCATCTAGCAGCCAACCCGGTTCTACATGCTAGAACAAAGCATATAGAGTTGGATCTATACTTTGTTCGAGAGAAGGTCATGAGAAAGCAAATAGAAGTCAGACATGTACCAGCCATTGATCAACTGGCAGATGTCTTTAC